TACATAAAGAAGATCATTTCAGAAAGTGATAAATACTGTGAAGAAAATAGACCCCAGGACCAGTATAGAAAGTGACAGGGGTGGGCATGATAGCGTCGGTGGGGAGGAGGAAGCTGGCTACTTAGATAAGGGCATCGGGTGGCCTTGACATTCCAGCCATGACCTACATCATGAGACGCCAGCCATGCAAAGACCTGATGGAAGAGCTTTAGGAAGAGGGAACAGCAAGGAGGCGGGATGAGCTCGGTGTGTTTGAGGGACAAAGAGGGTTGGCTGGAGCAGAGTGAACAAGAAGGGAAGTGAGGAATCTGAGTGTGGAGAGGTGGGCAGGGGCCACAAGGGAGGGGGCTGTGTGCTTCTGTCCCTCTGTCCAAGTAAGACTCATAGGACTTACCTGTGTTGGACAAGTGTTGAGCAGGTAACCCATGAGGTCCCTGCCAAGTGAGATGCAGGGAGGCTACAAATGGAAGTCAAGTACACCCTGGTACTTCCCACCACATACCCACCTTGCCTGCCTCAGCTACCCCATCCTGCTGTGCAGCAGCTGATTTAAAACACAAATAAAAACTGTCACGAGGTAGCCTGAGAGATGATTCCAGAGCCCACCCTGTCCACTGCAAGAGGCGCTACTGAACTAGAGCATTTCTAGAGAAGTGAAAGAGGGCAATTAATATTCAAACTGAACCAAGAAAGAGGTGAGCAGAAGGGCTTCCTGTCATCACACCATCCTGTTTCCAAAGAACTGCAGCCTGTAGGGAATGAACCCTCTCTCCCGCCCTCCTTCTCTTTCTCCCTTTCCCTTTGTGGGAATGTGTAAAGGGCCTGGAGTTTGAAAAGGGAAACGAAACTCTAGCCAGTTTATTCCGAGTTTTCGATCAAATCGGATCACAGACCCCAGGGAGAATCAGCTTCACGATTCTGAACAAGTTGTCCTCAGTATGAGAATGCTCATCTGCAGTTAACTTAAATGAAAAAAATCCAACTTAACCAGGAACTAGAGCACCTACACGATGTGACTGGAGGACCGAGAGCTGAAGTTTAAGGGTCCTGGCCCTGCCAACAGCAAATTAAAATGAAGCTGCTCTCTCAGGACAAGCAGGAGCGCGTGGATGGGTCCACAGCCACGTCCCGAAGGCTCGCTTCATTATCAGCTCCTGGCTTTTTGGCCTGGACATGTAGGGTCAGCATGACTACACATCTCAAGAGGAGTCTAGGGACTGGTGAGGACTCCCCAGAGGTCGCAGTATCCTTCCAAAGAGATAGGGGACAATTCCTATCTTTCCATTTCTGAGCTCACCAGTTACCCAAATGTTAGTTCTTCCAGCTCCGATCTCTAAAACTTTGGCCCATTTCCCTTTGTCTTCAGCAGAGAAGATAGGCCCACCATTCTTTCTCCCCGCTGGATCCTAAATTTTATTTGAGAAATAGCTTTCATTAGATATTTGGTTATGAAATATACCTTTTTATATATTGCTGGATTTGGTTTCTATTTGGTTTAGGACTTACACATCTACATTTATGGGTGAGATTTGCATGTGATTTCCCCCCACACACACACAATCCTTGTCAGGTTATGCCAGCCTCATAAACTAATTCTTTGTGCAGTATAATAGTTCACATCTTTCCCCTTGGACCAATCGACATTTCCCAGCAAAGACTTCCAATCTTCTGGACACTAGAGCTCTAGGAGTCCAATGTGCCCGAAGACATTCAGAATGCCAATACAGTAAAACCTTGGATTGTGAGTAACGTGGTTTGTGAGTGTTCCGCAAGATGAGCAAACATTTCTAATACATTTGAATGTGATAAACGAGCGATGTCTTGCAATATGAGTCGTTTGTTTCCAAAATGAATTGTGCTCGCAAACCAAGGTATTACTTTGGTACTTTCACCCTCAGCTGTTTCTGACCTCCAGACCTTAAATTTTTGCCTTCTCAAAGATAAGTGAGCTGGCTGCTGAGCAGGGGAGGGACAGTCACCTAGCTGCCTGAAGTAGGGAGGGGATCTAACACATCCAATCCTACAGTAACCCTCCTTTCACTCCCAATTCCTGGAGTAAGGCTGGTGTTACCTCATCTGAGCTTTTTGGGATTGTGCAACGTAAATTGTTTTGCTTATCACTGGGTCTCCACACCACTGGCTCAGGATTCAAATTTTTTTCAGCTTGGTTAAATCTTTCAACACTTCTGCTTTCCAGCTTGTTTCTCCTTTCATGTTCCGGAGAAGCTTGTGGATTTGTCTTCTAAACAAATCCCTTTGTCACTTTTGACAAAGTTAAGAGTATCTTCTATTTTTCAAATATCTACATCTATAACAGTATCCTTTTGTGGGGTTTGTTTTTTTGTTTTTTTGTGTTTTTTTTTTGCATCAGTCTTGCCAAAGATGTTAATTTGCTTCATATTTTTAAAGCACAAACTTGTGGCTTTGTTGATCTATTTAATTTCTGCACATCTTTCTTATTACCTATTTTCTTTAGATTTTGTTGTTCTAATTTCTTGAAACAGATGCATAGCTCAATTTTCAGTCTTTCTTACATTTAATAAATGTAAGAAAGTTTAAGTACTGTCTGTCTCATTTTAGTACACAGTATTTTTATTATTGTTCAGGTTCAATTTCCTTTATATTTAGACCTATGAGTTAATTTCTAAACATATATGGGTCTTCTAGTTATCTTTTAATTTTGGTTTCTAACTTAATTGCACTGTAGTCTGCCCTGCATGATAACAGGCCTTTGAAATGCATTGAGGTTCACTCCACTGCCCAATATATGGTCTATTTTTGAAAAAGTTCCATGTGTGCTCAAAAAGAATGTGCTCACAAGGAAGATTGTTAGATGCAGTGTTCTACAGAGGTCCCTTACACAAAAATTAGTAACTGTTTAACTCTTACATACTCCCCTTTTTGGTCAATGTCAAAATTTTCCATGATGATACCAGCTTACTTACCGGTTTTTGTTTTATATATTTTGAGGTAAAGTTATTAGGTACATGCTAACTTAGAATCTTTTTCTGGAAAATCAAGTAAACATACAATACGTAGTGATTCTGTTAGTATCTCTAGTAATGCTTTTTGTTTGAAAGCCTATTCCAGCTCCAGGGAGGCTGTGAATAACATACCCTAGAATTAGTCTGTTTGGTAACTAAGAGTAGCCCTAATTTTGCTGGTTATTAGTATGGCTACACCAGATTCATTTTGGTTCACTTCTGCCTGATACATCTTTCTTATCCTAAATTGCTGATATCTCTTGTGATCAGCTTATTGCTGAATTTCTTTTAAAAATCCAGTTTGACACTTTGTCTTTTTTCTGACCCTATTTTTTCATATAACCCATTTATATTGTAATTATTGACACATTGAGATTATTTCAACTTATTTGGACACTCTGTCCTGCACTTTCCTTTCTCTCCGCTACCTTGTCTTTTTATGGATTGATTATATTCTTGCTTGGGAACTACATTATTTTTTAGAAGTTAATCCAGAAATTTTTAGCACTTAAAATTTGTATACCAAAGTCTAAAGTTAAAAAATATACTGTCTTCCTGAATGACATAAGGACTTTAGAATGTTTATTCCAATCACCTCCCTCCCTAATTATCTATTTCATGTGTTTTATCTTTTTCTGAACTCTGTAAGACTTCTTAGAGTCACTTTTTATTTATTACTTTCTTTGATCCACATTCTTGGTTGCATTGCAGACCTTCCACGCTGGATCACTTCCCTTCTGTTTGGGCAACAGTTTTTAAGTGAAAATATCTTTTATTTCACCCTTGTTCTTGAAAGAATTTTACTGAGTATAGAATTCTAGGTTCACAGTTAATTTCTCAGAGTACTTTAAAGATATTTTTCATTTTCTTCCGGTTTATGTAGTTGCTGATGAGAAGTTAGCTGTCAACCTAATGTTTTGGTTTTTTTTTGAGATAATCTGTCTTTTCTTCCTGGATGCTTCTAAGATCAGTTCTAGGGTTCCACCACGAAGTGTCTAGAAATGTATTTTATTTTGCTTGGAACAAGATTATTAGATTATTGTAAACACTTTCATTAAAGCTTGAGCCTTTATCCAATGTTATCTTGGAAAGTGCTGTGACAGACAATATCCCCCTCCTCGGACGGAGAAAGTTCTTTTTTTTTTAAGATTTTTATTGGGGAATTGGGGGATGGGAACAGTGCTAGGGAATTGGGGGAAGGGGAACAGACAAGTTGCTGTCGTTTTTGTTCTTCAGTCTAGTTGTGGAGGACGTTGCTTCACTGGCCCAAGTTGGCACCATCATTGCGCTCTTCCCGGGCGAGGCAGATCAGTCACTGGCTTCTGGACGGCCGCTCACTGCGGCTGCTGGCCGCTCACGCTGGCTGCTGGCTACACATGGCAGCCCATGGCAACCCGCTGCCACAGGGGCTGCAGCCTCTGCCGTCGCCGGCGACCCACAGCTGCCCAGCTCCAGGTTGAGCTGTTGTTCAGCATCTTAGCTGTAGAGGGCAGTGTCACTGGCCCTCATATGTGGGATCCGAACCAGGGCCCTCTGGCGTCCCAAGCCAGTTCTTAACCATCGCGCCACTCGGCCGGCCCGAGAAAGTTCTTGAAGATCCAGAAAGGTAGGGGGCTCAGGCAGTGATGGAACCATTGATTAGAGTGCTATACTGACTTGTTTTCAGCAAAAGGGAGGCACGGCCTCAGTGCCACGTACTCTCTCCTGCCCATGCTAAGGCTGGCCCCAGCAGAGCATCACTTCCCACCCCTGAAGGGACCCTGGGTCTGGGTAAGAAGATGGTTAAGTGGCAGGGACACAAGCCCTCTTTACTGTGGTGCCTGGAACGCCTCCAGAGAAGCCAGTGAGGATCAGTGCAGGCTGGGAGGGGTCACGTGTACATCCCAGAGGGAGGCTGAAGCAGGGAGGCCTGAATCACCTTGCTGTTTTGCTTTTTCACTTTGTAGAACATGAGCCACCTGGTTGCTTTGCTTTGTAGCTAAAGAAACACTTTTTAGATGAAATAAGCCAACTTACTCTCATTTAGCAAAGTGTTTTATTCAAAAGCTTTTCAGCACCATCTAGTTGTCAGAAAGAATGGGAACCACTTTTTCCTGCCCACCCAGCTCCCAATTCCAGAGGCAGAAGGTAAACCATTTGGCTAGAGCTCCCCCTAATAATTAGAATTCACATCATGACCTAGTAACTATAATTCAGATCATGATAAGGTTTTGGTTGTTCTCTCACCCAACTTTCTCTAAGCCTCTACTAAAACCTGACTCCCTGACTCGAGTAGAGCTGTGCTCCCTATAGTTCAGAACAGCTGGAAGGAATCATGTCAGACCTGATCAACCTCCCCTTCCTGGGCTAGTAGGGGGACATACAATTTACCTTGGAGAAATCCAATTCTGTGACTGCCATCTAGGAAGGGCAGCATGCAGTTTTGAGAACTCAAATCTTAGGGTGACCCTCCCCTAACTCTACTCTAGAAACAAGGAGCATTAGGTCCGTTTGCTCTCCCTACTCCTCAATTGCTCATCCTCCCCTGTCCAATGAAAAGACAACTGAACCAAACCTTTTTGACAGAGTTAAGACAAACAATTACATCGACTAAAATGCTAAGAGATCCTGAGCTGTTGGAGATGAGGAGAGGAGATAGTGTGACCTGATCGTTCCCTTTTATTTTCTTTTAAGGGTATTTTGTTTCAACATAAAGCACACTTCCCGGAAGAGGTTCCTGGAGGAGAAACCCAGGAGTCTGACTGTGTCCTGTGGGAACACACAGTCACCTGTGTAACTTTGGCTTCAGTTCCTGGATCTGTCCTTTGCAGCTACGTCGGGTTCCACGGGAGGAGGAAAAGACGGGAGGGGCATCACTTGGCCAGAGCCCCCATGGGGTCCCAGGCTGGCAGGATGATGGGTTCCTGCTCTAACACAGCCAGCACCTCTTCGGGGACATGTTTCTTGTCCACCACCACTTCGTAGACATACTCAGAGAACCACTCATCTGTCATGCACAGGTAACCTGGGGGACAGAACAGAAGCATCGTAAGTCTGGAGGGCACGGGGCACAGAGCAGAAACCCCACGGGCGCTATAAAGAAGCCTTTTACAAAACTAGCATCAGCACACGTTTTTCAGCTTTCCCGTCTCTAATCGCACTGAATCGAAGTCTTCCTGGCAATTCTGTGAAGCAGACAGGACAGGTACGGCTGTCTTTTTACCAATTAGAAAACTGGGACTCTGAGTGACTCCGTGACGTGCCCAGTCCCACAGGTGAGGCTCAGAGCTGGGCCTTGGACCTGAGGCTGTTCCCAGACCCGGTGCTGTCCCACTGCCCAGGCTGCCTCACTGCAGGTGAGTGGGTGGCATGAAAAGGTAGGTGGAAATGCTTCTTGTTCACACAGTCACACCGAGGCGATTCGTCCCTAGGGTCAGGTGGGCAAGCACACCGGTTCCATTCTTACCCTCCCCACCGTCTCTGCATCGCTGGCTGTTCCTCTTCCTCTCCATATAAATTCCTACAATCACCAGCTAAGCTGCTAGAGCAATCCTGATGGGGCCACACCGTCATTCCCAGGTAGCCACTTATTTGCAGATGGCACTGTGTGAGTCAAATGGTAACACAGTCCTTGCTCTCCCAGGACATCTGTGATGAGGAGCAGGCAGAGCCGGACGCTCGGGCAGCTGCTCAGCCTCTTCCTCAGTAAGGCCCGAGGGCTGATGAATCTCTGCAGCGGGTAGGGCTACAGAGAGACATAGCTGTACGAACACCCCAGGTTGAGAGCTCAGCTCAGAGAAAAAGTGTGGTGTCACTAGGCATCCATCCTAGAAGCCTGCCTGTCTCAGGTCCCACTAGGACTACACGAACTCCTCTTCAGGAACATACGTCCAACAAACTTAACTGGGGGAAAATGCTTCTCCTGAGCCAGTGTTAATATAAAGAGCAAAATTAAAGTGAGAGACTAAAGTGTGTGTAATTTACAACAAGAATGGGCCAGGGAGTGAGCAGAGAGCACAAAAACATGTGTCTCACAGGGACCCTGCACGCCCAAGGGCTCACGGGAACGAATAGTCACCACCATCTCCCCATATCTGCCACCTACTACATGCCAGACACTGGGGCTAATTTTCTCTGCAAGTGTCTGTGCAAATCTAGGTCTGTGCTCTATCATTTCTCACAACGCAGTACCAAGACAAAGGAAGGTATAGTTATTTCTCAAGATGATCCTCTGCAAGAGCCTTTCTCAAACTTCTTGGCCCCAGGACCAAGATTGTACATTCTTACAATTATTGAGAACCCAAAAACTTGTTTATGTGGGTTATAACTACTGATAGTTACCACAATAGAAATTAAAACAGAAAGCTGAAAATATTAATTCATTTAAAAATAAGAATGTAAAAACATGAATATAAATAATATATTCTTAGGCAAAAAAAACTATATTCTCCAAAACAAAATAAATTCTAGTTAGAAAAGTGGCACTGTTTTACAATGTAATGTCAGGCGTCACAGCAGACAGCTGAATTCTTCTATCTGCCTTCTGTGTTCCATCCGGTTTCTGGCTTAAGTAGATGAAGAAAATCTGACCTCACACAGACGTGCTGCTGGAGAAGGGAAGACCATGCAGACCCGCAAGAGGGTCTCAGGGACCCGCAGGGGTCCTCAGACCACACTCTGAGAAATGCTGCCCTAAAAGCGAGGCTGTTTTAAGTAATTAAAAGGCAACATGATGGTAAGTCTAATTCTGTAAGCTAAATGGTGTGACAGAGGACATCACTTAACGTGAAGGCACAGCTGCTTTGATGAGGTCGTCTACGCCCAGTGCCGCTCTCCACCGCTGACAGGAGTCAGAGCCAGCGCGTCCTGATGAGGCCCAGCACATTCACCCTCCCAAGAAAATGCTCCGGAAGAGTGCTCACGGGCTCTGACCTAGTCAGGTAAGGGAGGATCCTTGCTCCCGGATGCCGGCCTCCCCAGCCAGTGCTCCTTCCTCAGCAGGAGAGAGAGGAGGAGAGCGCAGACATACCCCAGTCTGTAATGTTTCTGGTTTCTGTCTCAATTATATATATATATATATATATATATATATATATATATATATATATATATATATATATATATATACACACACACACACATATACTCGAGTCCTGGGCTTTGCTTGTTTCAGTCAGTCGGGACCTGGCCCTTACTCACCATCACCGACACGACTGCCACTGAGTTCTAGCAACCACAGTTTGGTCAGCTGAAGGGCCAACCAGTACCATTTCTTGGTGCATCCCAAGTAATTGCTTCCTGATAAAATCAGCATGGGCCTTCCCCAAAAGGAGCTTTCTGTGGGCAGGAGACCAGACTACTAAACCCTACACCAGCTGAGACATCAGTCATCCTTCCCCTCACCATAACGCCGACTGAATAAATCCGAAGAGTCGCTCTGGACAGCGAGGCAGGTGAAGGAGGGGAGAGGCAGATTCATGTAATAAAGTTCTGTGTCCTTATGACAATACTATCGTCACACCATCAAATGAGTCTTCAAAGAATGCACAGAGAAAATGGACACTAAGTACATCTACACATCTTGTTCCACAAGCAGATCAGATTAAGTCCTCACAAATTAAAACTCCTATCAATTGCAATCCACCCTTTCAGTGTCCCTGCCAAGAGGACCTGCCTTGATGAGCCTCTCTCTTCAGGATATGAGTTCTGTGGGGGCCCACAGAAACGTCACAGTCTAGGTGGCTGCCAAGTAATTGCACTCTAAGTAGATAATGAACTTGTGGCTGCAGGGACTGTTGATGCTGCGTGTCTTGGAGTTTGGCTGGGAAGATTAGGATCAGTATGTCTGAAACCCAAGTGAGCAAAGTCCCTACTCAGGCAGCTTTAAAGTGACTATTTTGATGAGGAAAGTTGCAGCGTCTAGCCCCGAAGCCCTCTGGCCATTAGAAAAACGCACTCCCCAAGAAAAAGGGAAAAGAAAAGAAAAATGTGCTACAGGGATCCCAAGGTTACATTTAGGGAAACAAATAGATAAATAGATAAGGAAAGGCAGCTGTAGGAACTGAGGTGAAATTAAATTTTGTTTAAACTTTAGTGTCTTGTTTACATGCAACGAGAAAGAAATAAGTAAACAGTCCCTCAAAGAAACTGGCCATGTTTCTGTATTTCGGAGAAAAGGTAGCATCGTCTGTAAAGGGAGAACTGTGTCTGAGGATACACCTCTAGAACGCAGGGGCCAAATTCATTCGTTTGGAGACAGAATAGTTTCAAAAGGGTTAATTTAAGGAAAACAAGACCTTTACCTGAGAAAACAGTTTTCTGAAATCCTACCAGAGATCTAAGATGTCATTAAACTTCTCAGACTAGATTAAGGTAACAAATAGATAAGCACGTATGAATTAAATATAGTTTGTATTTTTTTGTTGACTTTGTTCTATAAAGTATTTCACTTCACTAACAAACTATTTGTGGTTATTTTATTTTTTGCTACTTAAAAATAAGGTGTGACAAAATCAAGTTATCATTCTGCTCTGAGGGATCTGTCTGGCAGCATGGACGTATGGAAGCCGGACGACTGAGGTCTCATTAAGTCACTGCCAATCTTTCACCTAGCGGTGACAACTCTGGTTTGAAGAAAAGCTTCCAGAAAGGAAAGCAAAAACCTCCCTGACACTTGCCTCACATCGCAAACTTCCAGCAAGTACTAAGAAACCACTCCATAGAACATTAGTCATTTAAAATGAAACTGCAAAGACTATGTAGCAACATGGGAAAATGTTTAAAAGTGACGAAAGTATAAAAAAATGGTATACCCTATATTATTACAGCTATGTTACAAATCCAGATAGGGGAAAAACAAGAAAACAAAATCATAATTTTATATCATAGGGTAGGTGATTTTCCCCTCTAAGTTTCTGAAGCATTATATTGCTTTTTGACTCCTTAAAGATTACCTAAGTAATTCATGCTCATTATAAAAAATTTTGGAAATATGGGAGGAGGAGGAAGATGAGGAGAAGGAAGAAGAACAGGAGGAAGAAGTGGGTGAGAAGACGACAAATATAAATTTAAAAACTGCCTACAACTCCACCACTTTGGGATAAATACTCTTCCAATTTTATATATATATCCTTTGATAGTTTCTACATGTAGACTCTATACATTTAATAAAAATGAGACATCATACATGGTCTTTTATTACAAAGTATCACACATGCTGTGTTCCAATGTTGCTCTTTCCAAAAAAAACCCAAAAAACAAAAAAAAAACAAAAGACTTTTATCTACCACGTAATTTGAAAGTGCTGTACCTGTGAGAGGAAACCGAAAAGTATACCCTGGCTGTTGGAATCTAAACTGTTTTTTCATGTTTAGAAACAATCTTTGTTACATCCTTAATTATCTATTTAATTTCCTTCTATCCTCATCAATACTTGGTCTATATAATTACAACTTTCTCTTTGGGTCCAATTTGAACTGTGTGTGTGTTTGCTTGCTATTTACAGTTTTCTCTTGTAAAGTGTCCGTGTGGGACCTCTGCCTATTTTTACCTGGTGGTTTTACTTTTTTTCATAGTAATCAGAAATAATGAACTATATATTTATATATAATAATAACAGGTGCAAACATTTTTCCTATTATGTAATTTGCCTCCTAATTTAGTTTATGATGTTTTCTAGTCTACTAAAATTTTTTATTTTTATGAAGCCAAATTTATCAATCTTTTCCTTTATGGCTTCTAAATTTGTAAATGCATATAAACATCTTTCTGCAATTATAATGCAAAAATAAATAAGAGAAAAAAGTAGGATAAGTGTGAAGAAAACATTAGAAACAGCCTCAATGAAAAACTCATCACTCACTCAGGACTTGACACAGTCTAGTCCCGGCTTGTGAACATATACAGTTTTAACGGGTAATTAGGTAATGACAACCTGTAAACCACTTCTGTTAGGTACCCAGTGCATAAAGCCCTAATGCCTTACATTTGTACAGACGATGTTACAAATGTGCAAAATGACACAAT